GAACTCCAGCACAGGGATTCAGACCTGCCAGCAGCCCCATGGGATTCAGATGAAGCTATCTGTTCCTGTCCAGGTCTACAGTTTCAGGAACCCTCGACAGGGTTATGATGAGTCAAATTAGACTCGGCGGTAGTGGTTGAATACTGCAAAGTGTCATCCCCGACAAGAAGGATTTCAGTCTTCTTTGACATGAAAATGGATTATGTTTGGGAAGCTGAGATCTGCCTGATGTAACCCACTATGCTATTAACTCTAGATGTGTAAGTCTTCACACACTATGTTCAAATACAAGGAGGTGCAATGAGTAGATTAAATTGAAGACCCACGTCTTTTTAAACCTTGATTTTTTTTTAAAGAGCATTTAAAATCATTATCTTCTATATTTTAATTTTAATTCAGATCCTTTCCTGCAGAAAATGAAATCAGGGCTGGGATGAGCTGACGCTTCAGAAAATGTGTGCTGCCTTTGATTGTTGCCACCTGTGGAACAAAGACGCTGTTAGTCAAGTAGCACAAGTAAAGCTCTCACGGTCTGGGCTCCCCTAGCGCCTCCTGCCCTTCAAACTTAGATTTGAATAAGAACAATCTGCCTCTAAAATACACATCCATTCTGCTTTGGTGCACTCCGTAACCTTTCAGCGCTTGGTATGCGACTCCTCACCTCCTCTGCTTTCAGACCCCTCTGTCTCCAGATCCTCCCCCAGCCTGGCTGCCAGTTGTAAAGACAGAAATGGCAGGGCTCCAGGAGTGGTGGACTTGCGCAGGGTACCCCTCATGTATCTACAGTTCCACTCGGAGTGAGTAAAAGTTTTTCATAGCATCTTATTGAACTGACTAATAGGTTCTAAATTAAATGAACAAATGAAATGTTCTTAATTGTTCTTAAAGGCTTCTAAGATACACTAAAACATAATGGCTGACTCACCTTTACTATATTTTATCTCTTTCTGATGAAATAATGAAGAAAGGCTGTATTAGATTTTAACTTCTAAAACACTTGTTTGTAAAAGTCTGCATTTTACAGTGGGCACCTCAACTCCAGTTTGAGTCTTGACATAAGTTTAGCCTCCATTAGAGTTCATTCTGACCAGAAAGTGACCCATACCCACTGCTACCAAGTCAATTCCAACTCATAGGATTTCTGAGACTATTAATGCCCCCCTTTAAAAAAAATTATTGTTTTTCAAATGGGGAATTAGGTCCAGGTTTACAGAGCAGATCATGAATTTGACATTCGATCATTGAGACACATTTTGTTTTAATGCAACCATTTCAACCCCCCTCGATGCACCATCACTTACCCACTTCCTCCCTGCTTCCTACTTCTATCCCTCCTGATCTTGAGAAAATGCTGTCCTTTTGATCTTAAATGGCTGATTTTTCTAACATGGGGGTGGGACTGTGGGCAGCTGGAGTGGTGGTGGTGATGGTGAGCTCAGTATGAAACCTGAACCAGACCTGAAGGGTGACCAGGGGTTCACAGCTGCCCTAGACCTCTTCAGGAGTCACCCGAGGTGAGCCCTGTCTCTGAGCTGAACTCCGCTTTCCTTGGGTAGAGTTCTCCAAGCTTCACGGAGGATTGCGTGCGCTTTCCTTTTGGCCTGGATTTAGTTTCTCTTTAATTTGTCTAGCATTGGTGCATGAGTTTAACAGGATGAAGGTTATTCGATTTCTTGAAGCTTGGACAGCTACAGAGGTAATCCTAATTTCAAGAACTCAGGGTCAACATATGGCAAAAAAAATTGGAGCATGGGTCGACTAACATTAGGCCATTCCCCACTACTCCTTACGAGCATTAATGGCTCCCTTTGGTCATGAGACAGGCTAGGGCACGAGGCCACCTGCAATCTGGAAGCAACTCTTGTGCAACCAAGGCACACACTGGTCCACGCAAGTAAGACTGTCCAATTCCCACATCGTTCCTCTCTCGGTTTTTGTTGCTCAGAGAAATCCAAAAGTAGAGGTCCTACACAGTTTCTTGCCTCCAAGGCAATTAAGAGTAGTGTTCTACTGTTATGTTTAGTGCACGTTTGGGCTTTTTTTCTTCCATGGGTAATTTTACATCTAAAATTTGGCATTCTCCTCACAAACCCAAACTCAATATATGAGTACTTTTATGGCCCTGCTACTTGCTGTTTGTTTATTTGTTCATTCCCAACAGTTTTATTGTCGTAGAATTCACATAGCATACAATTCAATGGTTCAATCACATCAAGAAGAGTTGTACAATCATCAGCACAATCAGTTTTAGATACTTGCTTTTTAAAAGGTACCTGGTATAACCATACTAAAGATAGTTCAGAATATTTGTGGCCACGTTGAGGCTCTCTTGATATATTTAAATTAAACTTTTTGGACAGCAAATGCAAACAGAACAGTTCTCAAGTCAAACAAATTAGGTGGGACACATATCTTAATAGGTATTTTGAGGCTACTAAAAGAAATCAAGAGAGGAAGAGTGCCTGTCTATAAAAGTAAGTAAAAGAAGTTCCATAGTTGATATGAGTTGGAATTAACTCAATGAGTTTTTGAGTTTATGTCCTAAATTATTGTTACTAGGAAGATGAATAGGATATACCCTGCCTATATCCCGAAAGTTTAGAGTTGGGGAGGTAGATAAGAAGAAATTAAACAATTTTTAATATGATACATGTCATGATAGAATACACACAGGTTATTAGTGGAGAAACAGAGGAAGGGGATGCAGTTCTCCCATAAAGATTGGAGAAAGTTCTGGAAAAAATTTTGCCTAAATTGAGTTTTGAAGGAGAATCTAGGATAGGGAGGCGCTGGGGAGAACTCATTCCACCAGAGGGAACAGCATGAGTAAAGGTATGGAAACTTAATAAAAAAATAGCTGAGAGGATCTACAGACAGAATTTGATATTGTTGATGCTTATGCTGCAGAATAAAGCTTGGGTAAGGCAGTGCTCCAGGAGGTGAATGCAACAGATGGGCATGAAGCAGGGAACCAGTAGAGAGGTCTGAGGGGCCAGCCCCAATCCCAACTATGTGGACAGCTGCCCCTCCTCCCCCAAAGAATTTACTTCAGAGGACAGCACTGAAGCTACGGCTCAGAAAGAGGGACATGTCTGATCAGAGGACACGAGAGCAAATGAAGGGAGAGGAAGAGAGAGTGGAGCACAACCTGGCCCACCAAGCCTTGAGGGTGATATCGCTGCTCAGAGCAGCCAATGCACAGAAAGGACCACATGGCTGGCCCCACTATGAGACTCGACATCCCTCCCTGACTCATAGCCCTATGGGGGACAACACTGGAGACACAGTATGGGAATTGTGCCCAATCTGACCTCGCCACATTGAGGCAAGACACTTAGGGCATGCAACAGAGCAGCAAGGGGTGCAGAGCAAGGAAGTCCTGAGGGAATACCAAAAATAGACTTTGGGGGCCAGGGCATGGCACCCCATAAGAGCACTCCTGAAGGTCAACAAGCAGACCTTGAACTATTTACAGGCTTTTCTTTTTTGTGTCATTGTTTTTGTTGTTGTTGTTTTGTTTTCTTTTGTTGCTTTGTTTTGCTCTGCCTTGTTTTTGTGCATATTATT